TCTTTGAGAAGTGTTATACAACTAAGGTTATCTATAGTGCTGCCGGGATTTCTCGTATTGTCGTCAAATATGCAAGGACCAATACAAGGGTATTTAAAGGAAGTTGTTTCGTCTTTCCACTTTTTGTCAGCGAGATTTTCGTTAGAGTATCTGGCTGAAATACCACGTAAAAAAATTGTACCTTGTCGATGTTTTACTGCCTGTACCACTGTACCGTCAGCTATAGTGTGAAGGCCCAGGACAGGATGTTCTGAAACGTGTTAAAAGAATGCTTGTAGCGCTAGAGGTCAAAACTTTCTTCTTTAAATTATATACTGCTATTTTACCAGTTAAAACGTGGTTGCAGGATAGGGGAATATTCGTGCCATGGAGCGCACATTGCAACTTGTGTAGTAAACCAGAAACAATTGAACACGTGTTCATAGATTGCTGGAGCGGGGTCTTTTTCTGGGACATATGGCAAAGAACCCTGAAAAAAGAATTACCATCAAGTCCACACGGCATCCACTTTCTTTCGGTTAAAAACGAGGCAGGCGTACCTTATAATCTAATCATGCTTCTGGGCCTCCACAGTATATGAAAAACCCAATGTGCCTTTGAAAACGCGGATGTAGAAGTGCTATCTGTGCGCCAATATTTTTGCGAATCTGCGTGCCTTTTTCTTGAAGCGCTGAAGGGCCAAGAGGATGTACCAGACTGGATTGGGCGCATTGAGCAATTGCTACGAATGCACAAGTATTGATCAATAGTCAGCTAAAAGCTGACGTACGGTACCTCAATGAATTGTGTGGGTGTATCTTATGACGCACTTGTATTTTGACCAATATGTAAATATGTAAAATGTGAACAGTCTTGATATGCAAGGCAATAAAGATTTGAAGAAAGACAACCATCGGTGGCTCAGTGGTTAACGCCTCGCATACACGAAGCGGAGGTCCCACGTTCGGTTCCACGAACCAGAGTCTTTTCTCTAGATTTCTTTTTCTTTCTTGCGTTTTCATATACATAGACACGCATACATATACGGTGCGTGACATCGACGCCAACGTCGAGGCCGGCGGCGAAATCTAGGTGAGTGTGTCCATATAATTGCTATCGCAATAAAATATCGCCGACGCGACTGTGAAGCAGTTGTCAATTCGTTTTAGTATTATTATTTTAGGTGTAAAAAGTAAGAAAGTAAAAATGCCGGGATCAGTCTTGAGTTGAGAATAAATAAAATATTTTAATGCATTTTTGTTCCAGTTATGTGTTCATTGTTGAATGTAAGGTTGAATTAGTTGCACTATTATAATAACATCGTGACAGAGACGAGAACATTCAAAAACGCAAGAAGGCAAGCAGTTGTGTTCGTTTTTCAGCCTTTCATTGCTCTTTTCGTCTCTCAGTTTTCATATTATTCACTTCATAACTGCTCTCTTAATTGCCAGCATTGAAGTTACAGTCACTCACCTTTCAAAAGGGCTCGAGTCCCTTTTTTTGAGATCGCACACATGCTAAGTAATATTTCGTGGCTGTTGCGTCAGATACTGTATTGTATGAATACTACAGATGTATTTGGAGGAAGTAAAAAGTCTAACTTATTTTGTGGTAAATGAACAGATGCAACTGCAATTTCTGAGGTAACTTATTCTAAATGAAATGATTAAATCTGAAGCGACATTCAGTTATTAAAATGATTTTCGATGCGTTAGGAAAGGTGTAGCTCTTCCAGATCGGTTAGTTGTGATCTTGAAGGATCCCAGTAAAATGTGCTCAACAATTCTTACTTCCGCGAAAACTGATCGTGTGCAAAAGTTGCATCTCCAGCAAGACAATACCGAAAATTTGCAAGGGCTGCAGGTATGTAAAAGCAAGATCGGTAATTACCTGATGAGCACACGCTAGACGGATATCAAAAGATGATTTCGCGGGTCCCACGAAGATGCACGCGCTCAATCATAACTACCGCAAGCGCTCCGCGCATGCTATTCCGAGGGCGCTCGTGAAACCAGTCCCCCCCCCCGGTGGCGCTGCAGCGGTGGTCCAGTGACCAGTAAAAGAGCGAGGGATTGTGGGATGCACCGTCTGCTGCCGGCTTCCGGTTCGAGAAGAGTAGACGACGGCGAACCGCTCCGCCGCAAGCCTCAGAATATTCGGGATCCGCGCGCGCGGTCACCCGTTTATCTTTTTCCCGATAAACCATGGTCGGTCGTCCAGCCGTTGGCTGCTCCAACTCGAGCGCGAAAGGCAAATGAAGGTATCGATTCCCATGGAACTAAGAAAGAAAAATGAGGTGAGCCGCGGCTGCGAAGAGTGCCACAGCGACAGGGAGCCGTTGGATACCGAACGTTGAAGCCAGAATGTGCGAAGACCATTTTATCACAGGTACGCGTATATTCCTCACGAATAAAAAAAGCTTACGCATGAATTTGCTGCGAATATTATATCGAGAAATAAATTGTCGCGCCGGCACGCCTAGCAAAGATATTATGGGAACGCGTGGGTGAAATCTGCCTGCGGGGGTGTTTCCCCCCTCCATCATCATCATCAGCCTGACTACGTCCACTGCAGGACGAAGGCCTCCCTTATGTTCCGCCAGTCAACTCGGTCCTGTGCTTGCTGCTGACGATTTATACCCGCAAACTTTTTAACCTTATCTGCCCACTTAACCTTCTGTTCCCCTATCCCGCGCCCCATCGGGGTGGTCTAGTGGCTAAGGTACTCGGCTGCTGACCCGCAGGTCACGGGATCGAATCCCGACTGCGGTGGCTGCATTTCCGATGAAAGCGGAAGTGTTGTAGGCCCGTGTGCTGAGATTTGGGTGCACGTTAAAGAACCCCAGGTGGTCGAAATCTCCGGAGCCCTGACATGGTGGTTTGGGGACGTTAAACCCTACATATTAATCAATCACGAAGCGCTGGACGAGTCCACTTGCGTTTATCTTGGTCAAACTGTGCGCCAGGACGGCCCCCAAAGGAATAAGTCAGTTAAACAAGCGCAGGGTTTCGATTACTCGGCGCCGGCTATGTCTGACTGTATTGCTTATGTGCCGTCATGCGGTGCAGCTTAACCAAGATCAGCGTTCAAATAAGCATCTGGCTTCCACTAAGAAAGGCATCTTATAGCGAGCTGAAGGCTAGAAAAAAAAAAGATATATCAACGCGCTCAATGAGTGCACCGCTTCATGCCGATCGACCGACGATGTCGGCCGAAGCAGAGATCCCAAAATGAACTTTTAGCACACTGCTACAGTCATCCCCATCCCCTGATATCTTTAAAATGGTGATTTTCGTCTGCATAACGCATCATACAATGAAAACTGTCTTCTGTATCGACTGATCTGCTAGTCAAACTGACAGTACACCCGAACAGCGTAAAAGCATTGCAGACCATTTTAGTGCGATAAAAAAGTTTCTTTACAGTTCATGGCGTTTATAGCTTGTCATCGTCGCAGTCACGGTCAGCAGAAACAACACACCAACTTCTAAAGCACTGAAGTTGGACACAGAGGTGCTTTTTTCAACGAAGCGGTACAAAAATGCGCGTGTGCCGTTGCTAACCCGCGTGGTGCGTCGAACCGGAAGCCGTCGTATCCCACAGTTCCCTGCGATTGCCCATATTACCGGTCACTAGACCTGTCACGCCGGTTTCGGAGCACGCGGCGGGCCATATCCATGTGCTTTTTCATCCAGCGGCAGTGCTAGGTAACTCAATCTATACAAGAGCGGCCTCCGAGATGGCAGGAGTGCGACGGGTGTACACGGCGCGTACTTACCATCTCGAAGGCCATTGTATTCGTAGCGCCACACTTGAGAGGAAGTTCAAAAATTAGCGGAAAAATAAACAGTGTCGTAAAGGGCGAAAAACTGGGCTACGAATTCGGGTAATTTTTTTTCCTACATGGATTTAATCGAAACAAGCACTTGAGGCATTAGGCCAACGACAAAAATGTTTTTTTTTCCCTTTGTAGAGCCTGGTGACACATTGGTTACCACCCCGTTTTAGAGGACACAGCACCTAACCATCTATCCAACCATTAACCGCGGGATTGCTGGAAGTTTTGAATCATGCTAAATATCGGTGACATAAGTCAATAAAACAGATCGCTATTCATCCCTCAGTTGCATTTTCGGTCACGAATCATGGCTAGGGCGTCAATAACTACTTGCGAATTGAGAGCTCTTTTAACATGTGTAAATTTGATGTCTGTGCTTCTCCAAAAATCATTTTGCGATACGAGTGTCATTTTTTAGAGCAGACCAGAGGAGTCTTGAGGCGACAACCAAATGAAAACGACAGGAAGGAGGTCAAATTTACAGTTGCTGCGATGAATTATTGCAAGTGTAATCTCTTTTGCAGTCACTTCAGATAGGATAGCGAAATCCAAGAATGAAATTTTCGGAGCTCTCTGCTACGGCAAGCCTTATCCTCGTATTGTAGTTTCGGCACGCAAGACCCCAGATATAATTATTGAAGTTTGGAGAATCAAATCCTGAATAGTAATCCATACCTAATCCTAGGGAATAACACAAGCAGTACGACAGATATGCATTTTTCAAAGTCTATGAAGTTTGATCACACTTTAGATATGTTCATGCATGCGGTTCTATGTGTGCGCATATATTTGTTCGCGAAAGATCCCCGGCCAAAAGTTTACGCCCCCCCCCCCCCCCCCTCCTCCGGCTATGCCACTGATTTAGACTGTCTACAAAATGAGGCCCCGTGAGGCCATGTTCTCAGGGTTCCAGTCATATACGCGCCAAATTTTATTCTACGAGGTGGAAACACCTTTGAAGCCACATTTTCAAACCGCATACTTGAACACCAGCGACTGCAATGTTAATTTGGCTAACATTGAGGGTGCAAGAAAGTAGCCAGAATGTAGTCAACACTTCTGTTGCACCATCAGCCTAAAAAAAAGTAGTCAAATTGGTGCACTTCAGTAAAACCTTGCAGCCCTCGCCTCATTTTGCGATGTTGAATTCAGTGGGTAGGTAGAACATGGGTGAACGGGCTCCTTTTTTCTAGGGTTTTGGTGAGCACTTTTTATTCTGGGTTGCGGTGCAATGAAACAATGGAGAAAAAAAATGAACAGAGCACAAAGTACAATACAACAGAGCTAACGATCAGTGTGAAGTGGTACAATATAGCATCGTTTCAACACTTTAGCATGTTTATGCTGCCAAATAAAAAATCAAACTGGCACAGCTGCTTTCCCTGCATTCTCTAAAATTTAGAAGTTTCTATTCAATGTGAACAGAGCACAAAGTACAATACAACAGAGCTAACAATCAGTGTAAAGTGGTGCGTCTCTCATAATCATATGGTGGTTTTGCCAAAGGACATTAAACCCCACAAATCAATCAGTGTAAAGTGGTAGAATATAGCATCTTTTCAACACTTTAGCATGTTTATGCTGCCAAATAAAAAATCAAACTGGCACAGATGCTTTCCGTGCATTCTCTAAAATTTAGAAGTTTCTATTCGATGTGTTTTAACAGTTATACTGTGCATCTTAGCTACTTAAAATAAATAAAGAAGAAAGAAGAACCTAAAAGACATTCTGTTTCAACCTACCAACAGTGTAGCAAACACCTTGCATAAACCTAATGCATAATTATGTTGGTATTATTCCCTACACCAGTGAAAACTCATTATCAAATTTACTAGCAGAATTTCCAAAGCATGTATGTAAAATGATGCATAACATTTTTTCTAGCTTGCAGCATCTCTCCTATTCTACCCCAATTCAACTTTGCAGTGGAATACTTGAAGGGCACCTAGCCCAAGCATGATAGTAGCATTCTCCAAGGAGTTTCAAGAGAACTGTATACAATGGCTTACTTAGCAACCACAACAGAGCAACAAGCAGGCAATCGAGAAGTTCGTTGCCACTGTAGACAAGCAGCAGGATAGTGGCCTGATTGAATATGCACTGTAAACACAGAACTGTAATTAGGTGAACATGATGCAGCAAAATTCACAGTCTCTTTCTTTCCTCTTGACTTCAGAGCCTCAGGCCGACAAAAAAGATTAAAAAAAAAACAGTGGCCACACATCAATGGTCTCGCAGCATCAAACAACTGTTTCTTCATCACATCAGCTGCACACTCGCTCTGACAAAAACGGGGCACTAAGAGAGCGATACTTCTTTGAAAAAGCACCGACACATGTGCGAAGTGTGCAAGCATACATTTGTGTAGAGAGCTGGAAACAATTGTATGCAATACTTTCGAATGCAACATGCCATTTGAGCTTAAAAAATATGCATGCAATCAGCAAATCAGGCAATTATTTATACAAAATATGTAATAAATGCATCAAAAATTCACCTGGTTGTACAAGGAACATCTCTTTAGCTTTTTAAAAAATGCTGTTGCAGGGAAAGTTACAGGGACACCCAGTAGGTATGATAGAGCACACATCAATAGCAAGGCACCTCACAACTATAAAAAGAATTGAAGTAAAACAAAAGGCTTGTGGCTGGGCTATGAATGCAGAGTGCTCATTGGTTGCACAGGGTGAATTTCATGAAGGAGAGGGGGGCCAATAAAAAAAGCCCCATTACATTTTATAAATACACTGTATACTGAAGAGCCTCGCCCATTTAGGATTTCACTTTGTATGCTAAAGGCTATTGCAAGCCTACATGCCAAGAATTCATACGCAATTGAACCAACTTGCAACATACATTGGCACACATCATGTATATACCTGTTCCAACTTATCCCTGCACTTTGTTCAGATGTTAAATGACTTGATTAGCTAGCACTACTACAGCAGAACTCTAAAGATGCATGCCAGATTCGAGGACAAAACACTGCACAATGTTCTTGACAAAGAGGATAGCAAAAACGATGCAGTCGCATGCGAATGCCCCACACGCCAGCATGCCATAAACAGACTTCCAGAGGATAGGATGCCCTGTCTGCATAATCATGCATAATTATTGCAGTATTTTACCTAGTCGCATTGCATGGCTTAGCTGTACAAACAATATGGTAATCCACTGTGTGGCACCTAGGGTTTTCCTAAGGAAGCAATTACCATTCACAACTGAAGCCAGCAGGGAGGAACATGCAGTGTGCTGAAACATGGTTTTACAACAGTACTTTTGTTCTAAAACAGTTTATAGCAGCTGTTGCACCATTGCTCTGCAGCTGTACTATCACAGCAACAGGTTGCACTTATATACGCGTTTCTTTGGTATATTGAGAGGATCCTACTATGAAAATATGCTGGTGTGGGGCATTCAAATAAAAACATTTATAAGTGAAAACCAGATTAAAGTAATGACCCATATAAAAATTTAAAAAATTGTAACTAAAGTACAAAAAAATTTCCAGCCAGCAAAGTTGGCCTCATGGTAGTGTGTTACAACAATGCAAGAAAGCTGGCTACATGGGGATCATTTTCAGGAGATTATCCACGAATCATACTTGCAAGTGTGCATTATATGCAAGAAAGTACAGCATTTGTGCTTGACCAAACCAAAATGTGTACAATGTGTTACCATATGCCTGGTGTGCAGCACTGCACATAGTCTACGGTTATCAATTTGCTAGCAATTATACTTACCTATATTCCTTATTGACAAACATTTACAAAGACTGTCATAGGACATAGCTGGTCAAAAGGACCTTTATTAACAATTCAAATCACTTCCTGACAGCAAAAGATCTGTCAAATGAAGAGCAATGAGTGACAAACAGGAGTTTAGAATGTGGCATTTGTTTTTGAAAGAAATACTGGTATATACAGATTTCTTTTCAGTAATATCATGAATGCCCATACAAACAATTGCTTAAAGCATTCAGAACCCCTGGTAATTAACAGTACTACAATTCATTTATCAGTCACCACTGAAAAACACAGCTCATGACTGTACAAAAAATAACATAAGCCAATATTTACCCATAAAAAGGAGACAATAAAAAATAAGCTAAAAACAAACATTGACAAAATACACTCCAAGAGGTTGACCACTATTATAGATCTTCGTAGGGTATACAGAAACCTTATAAAAGAATTAAGACAGCACAAACAATATAACAACATGCTTCATTAATTGGGTTCTGCACCACGACAGATTCGAGCAAATAGTAGAAATCTCAACCCCCATACTTCCTAGAACACTAAGACGACGATGGTTTTGTGTAGTCGCACACACAACATACACTTATCTCGTGGCTATTCACGACACACAGGCAAAGAAATACGTGGCAGAGAAATTCATTATACATGATTACGTCCTTTCGTTTAGCAAGGTGAATGAATGCAAAACCTAGACATGGCACAAAACAGTGCCCACCTGAATACTATGCACAAAATATTGCTGCACACAGCGTGTGTTAAAGAACCAGTTTCTTGGGAATCTCCCACGGGAATTCTTTGCGACCAAAATGTCCATATGCACTGGTGCTCTGATAGATGGGGTTCTTCAACTGGAGGTCCCTAAAAGGTAAGAAATCAACAATTAAGTACATTTCCAATCAAACTGTCAAGCACAGAGAATATACAGGTGCGACAAAGAGGAATCATGGGAGAAAAGTACTACAGCAAGCAGTGGTTGCCCCTCATTTTGTGTAGCGCCCAATGCATGAGAGGAAGCACCCTTCAAGCATGCATTGAGAAAACGCCAACTCCTTTGGGCATATCACACTGTCTCACGTTCCATATGTCATGTGTTCCCGCTATTTTTGTTAGATGTAGCTACTATGCCAGTATTTGTGTTAAAGCATCATCACATTCACAAATTGTCCAATATGAAGGATAATTCGATACTACAGTCAAACCTCAATATATTGAACACGGATATATCGAATTATTGCCTATATCGAACGGTTCCTATATCACGCGGGATATTGCATGCATTATTGATTTTTTTATTTCGAACAAAGTTTGACATATAATGGATATATCGAACTCAGCCACCACAAACCGCCAGCGCTCCATTGACTGGCGGCGAGTTTTCCCGCAACTCTCGAAAGTAGCAGTAGAGCGGCGGGCGTTTACGAATGCTGCACACATCGATGGCGCCGAGAGCAACGTAGCGTAGCGGCGTATGCGCGCCGCAGCCTTGCAGCTTGCAGTCGTTGCAGTCTCTATGGTGTCAACGGCACACTGCGCACTTGGCAAGCTCTTCCCCCGTAGCATCGGCAGGCATCGGTCGTTGTGCTCGCAGTGTTCGTGCGTTCGGAGTTAGGCCTGTGGTGTGTGTAGTGCAAATGCGAAGAAACGGAAGACCCTGACTTTTGCTGCAAAACTGGAAGCAATACAGTGCGCCGAGAATGGCGAGAGAAGAAGTCGAGCGTTGCGGATGAGTTACGCATACCAAGGAGCACATTGAGTACCCTGCTCAAAAACAAAAGAGACATAAAGGCCAAAGCCGAGAAGAGCCAGCACTCGGGCGTGCAGCGTGTACGCAAAGTAGCTTTTGAAGATGTTGAGAAGTCGCTCCACAAGTGATTCATCGAGGCAAGGGCCCAAAATATTCCTGTATCAGGACCGATGTTGCAGCAAAAGGCAAATAACTTTGCATTCATTCTCGGCGCCGAGGATTTCAGTGCTAGTAGCGGTTGGCTGCAACGTTTCAAGGCTCGCTTCAACATTGTCGGGAAGACTGTGTCGGGAGAGAGTGAGGACGCCAATGACGAAGAAATTCAGAAGTGGCTTGATCACGAGTGGCCCAAAGTTCTCGCCAAGTATGAGCCGAAGCAGATCTTTAATGCCGACGAGACGGGCCTATTCTGGCAAATGCTTCCGCGGCAAACGCTGGACACTCGCGGGGACAAATGCCACGGAAGCAAGCAAGGCAAGGCCCGTGTGACGGTCCTATTGGCGGCCTATATGGATGGAAGCACGAAGCTGCGGCCACTTGTAATTGGCAAGTTTAAAACCCCGAGGTGCATGCGGAACTGCCCCAATATTCCGGTGACTTATGCCTGGAACAAGAAGGCGTGGATAACGAGGGATATTTTCCTCAAGTGGCTGAAGGTGTGGGATTCGGACCTGGCGCGTCAAGGACGGAAGGTATGCCTTATTATCGATAATTGCACGGCACACCACACCGACGCCCAGCTGAGCAATATCGTAGTGGTATTGCTGCCGCCTAACACTACTTCGAAGCTCCAACCGTTGGACCAGGGTATTATCCGCACATTTAAGTCTAACTACAAGCGTCGGCTGATCGACATTCTGCTCGTAAAGCTCCGGATGGGCCAAGATCTGAAGATCGATCTCTTGGGAGCCATCCAAATGCTCAAAGCATCGCGAGACAACGTCAAGCAGTCGACGATAGCCAACTGCTTTCGGCATGCGGGCTTTGGTCGCACTAACGAGGAATCAGTGGAAGAATTCGAGGAAGCTGGGTTGGCATGCGCAGATGAAGAAAGCGAGCTCGCCGAAACGTGGAGCAAGCTGGAGAGCTTTGTAGGTGCCGAGCCGCAAAGCATGTGCATCGAAGACTTCGTTGGAGGTGATGACATCACTGGTACAACGGCGGAGCTCACGGATGTTGAGATTGTCGCCGAAGCTACTGCTGAGCAGCCAAATGAAGTCTCTGCCGAGGTGGATCCCGCAAGCGCTGATGGTGCCCCGCTCCCGACATCAGCTGAGGTCGTAGCTGCCTTGGCCCTTGTGTGCCGCCACTGCGGTGCCATTGAAGGCACCGGCCTATCACTTATGGATCGCCTGGATTATATTGAGGACGCAGTCGTCAAACACGCCATGGCCAACAAAAAGCAGGCTAGTCTTTTTCAATATTTTAAACCAACACAATAAATACTATGTTTCAATCTTCAAGTGAGTATTTACTGCACCACGCTTGAACGGTTCGTTGGTTGTTTTCAGCAAGCTGTTGATGCATTTATTTCGCGATTTTTTTATATCGAATTCTGGATATATTGAACTATTTCGCGATCGCCGCGCCGTTCGATATATCGAGGTTCGACTGTATACCCAAGTCTCATATAGTCTGGTCTGACTGTAATGATAACTAAGCTTTGCTACAATTGACAGTGAAGCTGCATACCACACCCACCATTTCGATGTCACAGTACAATACCATATCAAAATAGATTTGCCACTTTGACTTCATATTTATTTAATTACAGTGACGTTAAGTTATATATATACACAATGTTATGTTGGGTGTCGTATTTACCAATGCGTACACGTTCCGCACAGGAATGGCCAACAATGTTGCATGTGACCATTGCGACAGTGGCGAAACAACTTGGCATATTCTGTGCGAATGCCTACAATACTGCTCGCAGAGACAGTCACTCTGAAGGGCACTAGATGAAATGGACAACCAGACTCTTTCAGAAGAAAGAATTCTGCACTACCGACAGGACTTTACGTCTCAGAAGAAGGCTGTAAAGGCGCTCCTGTGCTTCTTGCGTTCAACTGGCCTCTCCAAACAACTGTGATCAGAACGCCCTGCATGTGTGTGCATGTGTAGTTCCTTTTCCCAATTTATTTTATATCTATCTCTATCCTCTTTCCAACCCTTATTTCCACACCCCTGTACAGGGTAGCACAAACCGGTTCCTCTTGGCTAACCTCTCCGTCTCTTCCTTTTATTTATTTCTCTCTCTTATTGAATAGAAGAAACGGTGGCAATGCTTTTCGCACTTGCCAACAATGCAGTCGCTCTTTAGTTGTGAATTTTTTCATATTTATCCAGAACACATTTTTTCTTTGTACACACAAGACCACCTTATCATGGTGAGAAAGTGTAGCAAGGTTCGCACAGGTTCCCAAAACGAAGGACTTTCAAGAACTTTCCAGGACCTGTCACAGGTTTTTCAAGAAATAAAAGTGGCACGCAATGTTGAAAATTTTTTACTCTAAAATTTTCAGAATTGACTCACTTTTATTGCACTTGCGTAGTACATGCATACTGCAATTATAACAAACATGTCTAGTCTGCACTTTAACTCACTTTAGATTCAGCGCTCGCACAATAGCAAAGGAACCAGCATCGAAGAGTATTAGGAGTCTCTCACTTCGTTTGTTCACGGCTTGACGCCGTGAACAAACGGAGTGATGGGGGGGGGGGGTGGGGGGGAAAGCATCGCGCTTATTTTCATCTCTTTTTTTTTTGCACAAAAAAAAACATAACAAAAAAAAATAGGGATTGGGGGGGGGCAGTAAACATCGGCGTTGTGCGGTCTCACACCGACTTGCAACTGCAACTCAAGAGGGTAGGGTTTCATAATTACAGTAAAAAGTGCGTGTCTCGAAAGGGAGTGAACATACTACTCCTATCACTAAAAATTTTCAACATCAAAACAACTAGAAAATCTATTTCTGTCAAAAGAACTCGAATATGTCTCCCTGGGACAAACGCGAACGGACGGAACGACACAGTCGGTTGCTGGGAAAGCGCAAGTCCAAGCTTTGCTAAGGCCGACTGAAAACTTAACGTCTAAGTATAGCCAAAGTACCCAGATAGACAGGAACATTGCTAATTCTTTGGAAAAGAACGCCAAAACGCTTTTAGCATTGCTGACATCTTTATCGCCTTTACCGCTGGGTTAGCCATGTCTGCAAGCGCGGTTCGCCCGCGGCGGTTGTGGAAAACGGTACTTTCATTATCAATCCACAAGCATTGGCCGCGCACATACCTTCAAAACCATGTAGTTTTTTAACTATCTATGATCGCATCTGCCGTGATTTTGTCTGCAGCGTTTGTAGAACGCAACATCGCTTTAACTAGTCGAGCATTGAAGGCGCGCGCACTTTCGGAGTTCTCCAACGTCATCGCCACACATAATCGTTTCAAGAGGGACCGTGGTTTCGTCCACAGTGGTTGTGGCAAACGATAACCGCAATTCTGACAGTGCGTGCGCTAGCTGCGCGTGTCCTTCCGAAGCTTCGAGCGCACTGCTCTCGGCTTTCGTTCCATAGATTCGGCACTTAAGTTCATACCACCCACCGCAATGAGTAAAAGAGCTTGGAACATTCAAATTATGGCTCAATGGACAAAGTGAAACTTGGCTGGGGAATATCACGAATTTGCATATCTGCCAGTTTCACATCATTGAGATTCTTCAGCACGTTAGATGAACGCCTCCTAAATTCGTTCATAATAAAATGCGATGGGTTCGCTAAAATCCTGGCTTATATTGGGCTGCATTTTTGTCAATGCGGCTAGGTCACACACAGAAATTAAATTTCCGGGAGATTTTCTCGACAACCGTACAAACGTAAGAACTGGTCGAAACCCAAAAGACTCAGCAGGTATGCCCATCTACCACATAAAGGAGGCCACAATGTCGGTTGAGAGTGCTCAGGAAATTCAAAGATTTTCAGGGATGGGAAAAAGTTCCAGGACTTTCAGAGCCCTGAAAATGCATTTTTCAAATTCAAGGGTTTTCAAAAACCTGTACGCACCCTGTGTAGGGCGATTCCACATATGAACGAAGTATAACTGATTGACCTCTTAA